TCTCTCTCGTCATTCTGCAGAGTTGTTCACTTTTAAATCTGCTACGTGAAACGCGTGAAAATCCACCGATCACGTAGATCGTGCCGATGCTGTGGGATCCTCTCTCGTTCGTCCAGAGGCGTGAGAACGCAGCCGAGAGAGTAGTTGCGAGAGTAGTTTTAAAGGCGAAGAGCAAGGTAGCGTCGAAGTTGTCGAAGACGAAGAGGTAGAGGCGGTGGCCGATGGTGGTTAACGAAGACGCGGGGGAGGCGGATGTTGGCCGACAAATTGAACACCCGCGGCGTGACAATATAATTACGGGCTGCTTCCGCGCGCGCGGCTGTGTGCGTTTCTCAGAGCTTTCGTCCGTGCGACGACGCTAGGAAACACGCGATGCCCGCTTCGGGGCCCGCCTGAAAAATTAGCATCCTGCCCTCCCTCTCCCTGGCGATCGTCCGCCATGCTTCCTCGTCCTATTTCTCGTTTTGCAACTCGTTTTGCTTTCACGCCGAAAACGTTCCTTCCAAATGAGCGTGTTAATAGTGCCGGTGTAGACGTGAAACGTGTTGGGTCAATTTTGCCGTACCCTTTATTTCCGAGTATCAAACAGTGTGGACCTTTTCATTTTCAGCATTCAACTGTGTATTACCTCGCTTAATGTATTGTCGTGGAAGAATTGTCTTTGTTAGATGTATCGTCGTTCTATCGTGGCATATATCTAATCAAGAAATACGCAGGGATCAGTATGTAACTAAATGAAATAGAAATTCAGTGAATGAGTACCTAAATTTTATTAAAAATAATATAATATAATCAAAAATCTTTGAGTGTTTAGTCCGTATACAAATAATATGTTACACTTAATTATATCAAATATATGTGTATATATATATAGCAATGTATTGAAAAGAATCGAATAAAATTCATAGCGTAATTCCATCCGACTTGAAGTTACGTCTATTAACGTTTAGTAGAAATTCCATCATTGTTTCGCTTCACAGTCTGAAACGAAGCATCTGAAGTCTTAAGTGGATAGTACTTAAGATCGAGCTAGAGTTGAGCCTTGAACTATCGCTATCGAAGCTATCTCGGGTCCAAGTTATCTCGAGCCCGAGATAGCTTAAACCCGTGGATTAGCCTAGGTCCGTGGCTCGTAACGCAGAACAGGATCTAGAAACGCATCGATCACCAGGCGAACCGAATCGAACCGGTTATACCCGATCGGGATGGACACAAAGCGCGTGCATTCGATTCGGTGTGCCCCGTTGTCGAAGCATTCTCCGTGTCTTCCTACTTCGAATCACCTTCATCACAGTCTCGTTCGCGGTTTTCAACCAGTCACGAGCTCACGATTCGCTTAAATCACCTTGACTCGGTGCTATTCTAAGCTCCAACAAGTCGTAAGATTAGACCCGGGATCCTGGCCCCGAACACTTCCGAAGCGAATGATAAATGAACGATAGCCCTCTGCCTTGTAGAATCGTGAAATTGTACCGCTGAATTGTTGCTCTTTGGGATTCAGCACGGTGATAATCAGCCGGCGGATATTAATGCCACGCGATCGTTACCAATAAATTACGAAGATTGTGTATTTAGTATAGACTTCACTTAATTCAATTTTAATTTCACTTCATTCGTTGAGTGTTTAGTCCGTATACAAATAATCCTGCAATCAATAATGAAATAATTGATTTTACTTACTAGACAGAGCTTCAAATTTAACATCTCGATATATGTTTAAAGGTAAATGCATTGCTTGATTAATTAAGAAGATTGTTAACTATTGGTATCGAAAATATGAGAATCGTATAATAAATTGATATTAATTATTAATTTGTTTTATCTTGATTTTAATGTGTTAGTTCACGAAGAAAAACGAGTGCATGAATATACTTGAGCTTTGACTGTCACGCGATTAATATTAATTTGATATTAACATTTAATATGTGATAAGTCACATTTATTAATTAACACGATGATATATGGTAAGTTACATTTATTAACTTTTTTTATTCTTATATATATATCTAAAATGGTGACGTAAAAAATAAAGCATATTCCTATACTTTAAATAAATTATAATTTGTTAA